AATTAGCTTCAGATAGGCTAGTGACTAGCATGGATTAGCTGGAATTAGTGTCAGATAGGCTAGTGACTAGCATGGATTAGCTGGAATTAGTGTCAGATAGGCTAGTGACTAGCATGGATTAGCTGGAGTTAGCATCAGATAGGTTAGTGACTAGTATGGACTAGCTGGAGTTAGCATCAGAGATGCTAGCTACTAGCATGGATTACCTGGTGTTAGCATCAGAGAGGCTAGCATGGATCAGCTGGTGCTAGCATCAGAGAGGCTAGTGACTAGCATGGATAAGAAAAGCCAGAACTATCAAGTTGGGACTTGTTAGAGGAAGTTGTCTTTTTTCAAGAAAGTTTGTGTCTAATAAAGTAGGTGAGCATGCTAGTTGCTAACCTCTCCAATGCTAATGCTAGCTTATCCTTGCTAGTAGCTAGCCTCTAATGATAACTCTCTCATTTGCCAGCTCAGGCCTCTCAGTGGTGTTGGCCTATCTTTAATCAGACCAGTAGCTGGACTGGGGCAGATACAGGCTCCTGCTACAAGGATGTAGTGAGCACTGGTTGAGCAGTTTGACTCTCAGTCTTTGTGTACTGGTTATTGTGTTTGTGCACTTTGTCAGGTGTTTTTAATGGTCTTGGTTTAAACAGTCACCCAGATGAATTGTGGGTATTTAAAGATGGCGGCTGAGTTCAGAGTTACTCTGAAGATGGACACAAACATCACTGCAGTAAATTCAGTTTGTTGTTTGGAGTCACTCTTGAGTTTTTCAAGTTTCCTTTACAAACGTTGCGTCAGTCCTCTGCGCTCAGCTTTCAGTTGCCGCACAGTTTTATGGGATTGTTTCCGATGATCCCCAGCTCATACAGGATGGACAGCGTGGAAAACAGGACGTAACAAACTAAACAAACGATTCCCAGCTTCCAGTCCAGCTTCCAGCCGTTCACGTGCACGGCTGTGAAGAGCAGGACGATGGACAACAGCAGAGTGGCAGAAACAAAGACCAGTCCGGAGCTGTTGACCTCCACCGGGGTGTTGGTGTCCACGAAGGCGGTCCTGATGAACCAGGGCAGACCCAGACACAGCATGTCGAACACGTTGGAGCCCACTGCGTTGGACATGGCCATGTCTGCTTTACCTGCCGACACAGGAGACAGGCAGGTTCACAGCTGGACTAAAGCTCCAGCAGGTGTGTTTGACTCTCAGGTACCTTCTCTGGCCACCATCACACTGGCCACGGTGTCAGGTATACTGGTCCCAGCAGCCAGCAGGGTCAGGCCCATCACGGTGTCCGGGACTCCCAGAGTCTCACCTGAACACCAGAGACGAGACGTTAGAACAGCTGCTGTAGACCCAGACCCAAAACTAGACCCAGGTCCAGATCCTGATCTAGATCCAGACTAGAGACTGGACAAAAACCACGTTAGAGAGAACAGCTGCTGTAGACCCAGACCCAAAACTAGACCCAGGTCCAGATCCTGATCTAGATCCAGACTAGAGACTGGACAAAAACCACGTTAGAGAGAACAGCTGCTGTAGACCCAGACCCAAAACTAGATCCAGGTCCAGATCCAGACTAGAGTCTGGACAAAAACCACGTTAGAGAGAACAGCTGCTGTAGACCCAGACCCAAACCTAGACCCAGGTCCAGGTCCAGATCCAGACTAGAGTCTGGACAAAAACCACGTTAGAGAGAACAGCTGCTGTAGACCCAGACCCAAACCTAGACC